CTGGGTCCCTTGAAGGGCTTAGTTACTTACCAGCTTCAACTGGTGAGATGCTCAAATGTTACAGTTGTTTCAGCTGGTTGGAAGTGATTGCATTGAAACAACACAACCAATCTGAGCTCTTCTAGCAAAGTCAAAGGGAAAAATTCCCACTTGCATTAGTGGGTACCAAGTCACTGTGCTATTTCTATCCCATGGAATACATTTATAAGAGTGGTCTAACAGTTTTAAAATTTCAGTATTATTTTCTAGAAATTATGAACTTTGCATTTAATTAAAATTATGGTAAACACTTTAGAGATGAAATAAAAAATGTGTAAAAGTATAATTTTTTCAAAAATCATAGGGAGTATTTGTGCAAAAATGTTTGCAGTTCTCGGTTTTAAGATAAATATTAATGGAGGTAAATCGATTTAGTCTTATTTTATAACTCCCCTGGGTTCACTCTTTGTAACCCTTGAACATGCTAGTGGATGTGGAGAGGTTTATTTTGTTGTTTAAAATTTTGGAGGCGAGAGGAATATCAACCCTTGCATTGGTTCAAAACAAATCAAACAGGCCTATGGTCAGGAGATTCTCTCACCCTAAACCTTAGTTAAATACTGAAACATTAAGATATATTGAATTCATTTTAAGTAAAGCCCTTTTTCTCTAGTTTCAGCCAAGGCTGTAAAACTGAGTGCCATTTGGTACATGCCCTAGATTGCAGAAGAAATCAGAAGGCAACAAAGCTTTAGTGGCTCAGAATAAATATTGTTTAAACTTTATTCCAAATGCTCAATTTGATTGAAAAAGCCCTCCCCCCTCCCCCCAAAAAAAGACTTTATTCATCAGTGTTCTTGGTATTTAAATTCTGAAGTCAGTTGGATTCAAAGCATCTGGCCTCACATCTCCATTTTCCTCTTTGATAGCGGAACAAAATAGCCCTTCAAAATCACAGAGTCATTTAACATTCAGTCAGGGCATCTGTTGGTATCGTAATAGCAGATTTGGGCCAGTATTTAAAAGTGGGTAATTTGGAATCTGGTTCATTTTGCCATGCTGAAAGCCTGGCCAAAAATCTTCTCATAGCAGGTGGTCTATGGGAACTTGGTCCATGAAGGCTCTGATGTAGTTCTATTTATGTCTCCGTGTTAGATGATAACCCTGAAGCCATAGTTGCTGTGACTCTGCCAGACTAGAATCCAAAACAAAGCACAGAGCTGATTATTACCAGGCCCATTTCCAAGGGACGAGAGACAATTCTCATAAGTGTAATACCCAGTGCCCCAGTTGTGATTGGCCTTGTTGTTTGTTTCTGGTACCCACCTGGCTGCCAGTACCAAAGTGGATTGCATCTGTTTTCTCCCTGAAACCAGAAGGCCAATTTTCAGTAGAGAGGATGGGCTGAATACACTCACCCCATACCATTGAATGGAGCATCACTTGGTCACTTATTAGACACCAGAGGCTTTCTCAGCAAGTTGGCAGAAGAGGTTCCTTTTGATAGATCTTGTCAATAAAAGTTTTCTCTCTCTCTCGTTCTCTTTCAATTACATGGCCTTATTTGATGCTTATAATCACCTAGTGGTTTAGGGTAGGTTTTATTCTTATTCCCATTTTTAGGTGTAGGGGAAGTTAGAAGAGTTAAGTGATTTGCCTAAGATTACCCAGCCAATGAGAAAATGCAAGACCTATTCGTATCCTTATCATCTCTCCTCAGTGTTGGTATGATACACAATTTACAGCCATCTGAAGTATAAGCTGATGGAATGGTGGATGACTCATAACAGTACATTTGAAACCACAACATTTAGCAGATCTCTGGTTGTGGCTACTTCTGCTGTCTTGCCACAAATTCAACCATATTGATTTTTGGCCACACAGCATTGCAATATTGCAGACTTAAAAATGAACATTAGAATCCTAGCACATTTGCAGTATCTATAGGGGTTTGTGTTTTGCCTAAGGGATGGTACCACGAGGAGACACATTTTAAGGTGGCATAGGTATGTTTTTTAAAGTCCTGATAGCATAAAGTTTGTAACTGGATCGTGATGTGGCAGCAGCAACTTTTTTCAATTATTAAGAAAATATCACGCCGTGTCTGTGATGTTCAAAGAACTATGCTAAGTTGCTAAGAACTATGCAAGGATTGACTTCCTTCAAAGAGCTTATAGATCTACTGGAGAGAAAATGTACGCATAAAACAACCAGCAATGTAGGGCACTAGTTATAATGGCAAGGGCAGGTACAGGTGGCAAGGCCTATAGTGGCAAGGAGAGAGTGTGGTTGAATTGCGGTAATTTTGAAAGACTCTTTTAGGTTTTGTAGTGGAAGTAAAATTTAGATACTGTATGTGAAATGATAGTAGGTTTTCTAGATGGTGGGCTGAGAATGAGGAAACAGCATGGGCAAAATAATGGGAATATAAAAGAGTAAAGCATGTCATGGGAAACACATAGACAAAGATAGGAATTTATAATAGAAAGGACTGGGAGAGAGGTAGGAAAATTGGTGGGAAGATTATGGATGGCTCTCAATGCCTACATGAAGAGTTTATTCTATTAATCTGTAAGGAAAGAAGTGTCAATTAAGTATTTTAGACTGGAGGTAGAAACATAAAAACAGAGAAACATAGAAGTGGAGGCACCACACTGGTGGCGGAGCCCAGGGTAGAATGAAGAATAGAAGGAGAAACAGACTGTCCATAGAGAGACAAGTCAAAAAAGGGGGCAGAAATCCAAGGGTAAAGTGCAGTGGAACATGACACAGGGCTGGATGGGGTCTGGGTGGGAGAATTCAGTGTACTTAGGTCCTCCTCTTCAAGCTTCTGCACATCTGCCCTTAGCTTCTTGTCTCTCTCCTCACAAAGGAGCCACAAAGTGTTGCTAAAGCTCTAAAAAGAAAGTTTTATCCATCTCCATTTTTTCTCCCTCACTATTGGCTTGAGGGATGAGGAAATTTTCAAGTGGTTGCAATGCGAAGTCATTTCTGCACTTGTGGTGCCATCTTATCTCACACTGAGTCATTTGACATCATCTTTGAAAATTCCTGCACACCTAATGTGTTGGCCCACTAGCCTTTGCATCCTCTCTGTAAGGTATTCCTGTTAGGCGGTTGCAACTGTTGCCGGGGACTGTGACCCAGCACTTCAGTCCATGTGTGTCTCAGAAGTGGCCCTTTTTGGGGGAAAAGATACTCTCTTTGGCAGAAGGAGGCACAGCAAGATTCACTGTCTGGGAGGAGAGGAGTGTTTCAGTGTCCCAAGACTACCCCTGGTTCAGTGATTCCCTAGGACCTACAGGACTCAGCATGCAGTACTTACATCTATGGTTTTACAACACAAGGATGCAAAGTAAAATCAGCAAAGGGAAAGGTGCGTGGGGCAAAATCTGGAGGAAACCAGGCACAAGCTTCTAAGAGTCTCTCCCCGTGGAGTCCATGCAGGGTGCAATTAATTCCTCTAGCAATGAAACGCGTGTGGAATGTTGTCTCCCAGTCTCATTAGAGACTCAGTGCCCAGGGTTTTTGTTGAGAATTGTTCACATAAGCACCATCTTGCACATAGCACATACCAAAATTCCGGGCTCCCAGAAGGAAAGCAGGTGTTCAGCATAAACCACATGGTGTGTGCAGGTTAGACCCAGCGAGCCACTCTTAACTGCTCTTGGAATTGGATAAACCCTCCTGAAATCCCAAGTTTCCAGATGCCAACCCAGGGCCAACCTTGCAAGCAAGCTTCCTAAGGATAAGCATCTCAAGCTTGCTATCTTAACTTTTCTGCACAGGGAGTGAAAATATTAGGTTGTTGAGAAAAGAGTATTGATGGAGGCATTTTTCCAAATCCAAGAGAGTTAAGAAGAGATCATGTCTTTGGTAGTGATATCTGAAATTGGGGGAAAAGAGAAGGATTAGAGCAGAAATTCCATAGCGCAGAGCACTAAAATCAGTCCCAGTCTGATGTCCACAAGGAGGAGCATGGGGAAGTAGAAGAGAACTGGGATGGTGTATTAGGAAATGCTCGATAGTATATAAAGGGCTGCAGATAGGCAGGGATTATGGGCACTCTAAAATGCCACTGGCGCACCATTTAAGAATGTGTTGATTGATTTATAACTTAAAATTACCTGTGTATATATTAAGTAAGACACTCAGCCAGTGCTTTGAATAGTTTTCCTGCCCATCACATCTTTCTCTTTTCTTTTTATCATCTTACAAAAGCCCTGTTTTGACATTTTTTTTTTGTCATTGCTTTGAATTTGTTTGTTTAGGTTTAGATTTCATAGGCAGAGGGAAATGAAAGAGCTTTGGGAAAGCTAAAAAATTTCTTTGAGTAATACTGTGTATTTTCTCTGATAATTATTTAGGGACAGCAGCAGCCAAAAAGGACCTCTTCCATTCTTGATGGGAAAGTAGTTCTGTTTGTTCATTTAAGAGGACCCACTGTATTTAATATTTCATTGATCTCATTGCTGCTTGCTGGTGCAGAATAAAAATTAAAAGCTACTTGTTTTGAGTGCTGCCATCCCAAGGGGATGATAAAAGTGTTTGAATTTACTATTACACTCTCGAGTTTCTCCCAGACCCTGACTTCTATGTACTGTCTCTCTGATATTTCATTTCTTTTATTCTGCATCCTCAGATGCTAACGTTGTATAGAGCCTCTGAGATAGATGATCATTGTTATACAGGACCATGCAAACCAATATTGGCTTTTCCTTTGCGTATAATAAAAACATATCAGAACTACATTTTTTTTTAAAAGCTCTTTTTGTGTGGCTGACTTTGAATAGTTAGCGGTCTACAAAATACCAGTGCCTCCTCTCTCACACTCTGGATGCTTCAGGAATAGAAAATAGAAAATGGCAAGTGTAGTGCTCAATGTGGCATTTGCACTTCCAGTTACTCCTAGTGATGGGTGACAATTCTGGCCTTATTCACTTCATTGAACTTCAGGAGGGGAAATGTGTGCTGTGATTGAGGTGATTTTATATTCTCTGTCTCTTGTCCTAATATCCCAGGGCTTCCAGCAAAAGTTCTCCTTCCACAGTAAAGAGATCGTGGCTATCAGCTGTTCCTGGTGCAAGCAGGCAGTAAGTTTGGGGTGAAATAAAGCAACATGGGCTCATGTTTTATTAAAATACACTTATGACATTGCTTGAATTCCCGTCTGTAGGCGAAGGTTATCTTAATTTAATGTATTACTTTTCTCATATAGGACCCTTGGAGGAAGAAAGAATAATAGCATATATGAGTTGGGAGAAACTATAAAAATAAATTCACACCTACATTTTATATACATTGAAGCCTGGGGCAGAGACTGGAAAATCCTCCTCTGGCTCTAATACTGGGACTAGAATTGAGGGCTTCTCACTCCTAGACCACATTTTATCTCAGTCCACTAGATCATTGAGAATTCATCTTATGGTAGAAAGGTACAACATTAGGGACAACACAACATGCGACATGAGAGATCCCTGTAACACTGGTGTACAGGCGTCATGGTCCTTCTTGTTTTGATGTGGGTAACTTTTTTTTAATGGGGCTAAGTGTTAGGATGAGGAGAGTAGTCCCTGTATCCTTTTTCAGGTTTGTATGTCTTTACATTTGTCTGTATGCTCATTAAAATGTAGCTATTTCTCACATTTAAGAAATATATATTCATTAGGATCTGATGGTAATTTCCCATTTACTTTTCTTCTCTTTTGTCTACCTTTTCTTCACTTTTTTTTTTTTTAGCACCTAATTACTCTGTCCCTACTAGATGCTACATTTACTTATTTGTTTGCCTATGTATCTGTTCTTTCTTCTACCAGACAATGTATAGTCTAACTCAGGGGTTGGTAAACTACGGCCCATCGGCCAAGTCTGGCCACCATTTAATTTTGTAAATGAAGTTTTGTTAGAACATAGCCATGCTCAGTTATTGATGTATTGTTAGTAGCCCTTTTTGCATTTGTGTATTGTCTACAACTACTTTCATGCTACAATGTCAGAGCTGAGTAATTGCAAAACAGATGGAGGGGCCCACAAGCCTAAAATATTTATTCTCTGGGCCTTTATAGAAAAAGTTTGCTGACCCCTACTCCAATTTCTTTATCTACCTACTCCTTCCAGTGACTATATGAGTTGGGATATATAGTCCCTTCATTGCACAGGGGACCTGCAAAGAAAGCTATGTGTTTCAGCTAGGTGAAGAGTTTGCAGGAAACCTCATCCTCTACACACATCAGATTGGACTAGTCATCCAGGCCTTGGGACTGGAACAGATGCATTTAGTTGAAATGTGAAGTTGACATTTTTCATGGGTCAAAACCACTTGAATTTTGGCAATCCCATATAGTTCAACCTAATAATCTCTCTAGCATACTTTTCCCAGGCCCCCACGTGTCAGGAGAACCTGCTGTCCCTGGGGAGGAACTCAGTGGTCTGGAAAGCTCCGTGTTGCTGCATCATCATCCTGTGCATTTTTTATTCTTGGTGTTTCCATCTCCTTGCAGTTAGTTGTAACACAAATAATCGTTCCACATCTGTGCGAGAACATGCTTACAAGTATAAGGCCATACTAGTTCTTGAATGAAACTCTGTATTATCAAAGGCAGTTATCTCCATGCGGGGAGGAAGAAGCAGATCCTGTGTCCAGGTGTCCCTAATGCTGTCTGTGCTGCGGGTTCCCCTGTTCTGGTGAGACCCCACTGGTGGGACAGCCTCCCAGACAGCGATGTGGTCACATGGGCTGCGTCTGCTCCTGCCCTGTGTAGCTACCAGGCTGTGGTGAGCTGGTTTGTCCGAGATCAATTAATTTGGAAATCAAATCCCTTTTTACAACGCACATGTGTGTGCTCTTTTCATTAATCTGTAGTCCAACTGAATCGTTACAAAGGCTGAACTTTCACTTGACCATTGTGAGAGAGCTTTGGTCAATTCCACATATCTTTGAGTTTCCCACAGTGTAGAAGGTGATTTTGCAGGGACTATAAATACAAAACGTTTGAACACAGATTATAGTGGGGATATATTTTAACAGTACAGGTCAGTCCCTTCTAGGATATTTGATATCAAACAAGCAGATAAATAAGTGACCCTTGATGATGCAGGAGGAAGAACACTGGGTTCAGGAGTCAGATTTCCTGGGTTCAGATCCTGACTCCACCATTTAAAAGCTGTGCAATCTTCAATTTATCTCCGACTCTCTGGATTGGAGATGACTCACGTATAAATTGAGAGTCAACATAGCCAGTCTCCGAGATCCCTACCATTTTAGAAATGCAATGGTCATGCATTTGAGAGTTTATTTGAATTACCAAAAAAAAAAAAAAAATCAGTTTTTAAAGAAGATATTCAAATAACATCCCTCTGTTATATTTATTTGTTTGCAGATCACAAATTATTGGTGGCAGAGAAAATTATTATTTTATCAATTAATATTATATTTAATTGACTGAAAATTAGACAGTGAATCAGATCAAATCTTGAAGATAGACAGATGAAACAAAATCTCTCTGTTGTTATGTAATATAATTAGGGTGGCTGTATTTGCCAATTTTTCTAAGACAGTCTTAATTTATGTCTGTTGTTCCAACATGATTATTACCAGTGATCCTTTTCACTTTTAAAATTGTTCCAGTTAATATGATAAATTATATGGTCACATTAAGTGACCAAGTAGAATTTGAGGTTAAATTTTTAAATATCACTATGATTAAATTTTAAGGCCCATAATTATTGCATAATGTTGACTTTAAGTTTATTTAGAAAATAAATGTCACTATGCATCACTATCACTTTGTAGTCACAGAAAAGATGAAAATATGACTGGCCTAAGATCACCAGTCTGAGTGTCACAGTTGGAGTATAGCGTTAAGTCCCTAATACTGCAGTATTGTTCTGATGATTAGTCTACTTTTACTTCCTTCCTTTCAAAAACAAAAATCACTTTAGACTTGCCAAGAGTAATAGGGCCATTGTATTTTTTTAGTGGCCCCAGACAAACCCAACAGAAGCAATCTCTTTGTACTTTGTTACCTCTGGGATTAACAACTTTCTAGAAGAGACATTGTGCTTCTTTCCTGGCTTCTCTAAACTGGAAAGACGACCTGGGAGGATTTATATCTATGATAGAAAAAGGAGAGGCAGATGGTAGGAATTGCCTTTCTGCTTTGTCTTTATTTCCTTCTCGACATTGTCCCAAATCAACCAAGTTAAGGGACCAGGGAGAGTTAAGGGGAACAAAATTGTGTGCCAAGTTAGGATGAATAGAATCCTCCAAGACTCTAACACTTTTATGTAAATATCCCATTAAAGGATTAGAAGGTTTTAGCAGGCTTTATCCTGTTAGATTGATTTTTTTTTGTTATCAATTGTTATTAGCTCATAAACTGGAATAAATTTGGGATCTGGTTTCTAAGATCCTGGAGCTGGTTGGGTGGTGATAAGAAAAGCATGTGTCCTTGGTGTGTACCGGTTCGTGCATGTGTGCATGCATGTGTGTGTTTGTACATGCATGTGTGTGTGCATGTGTATTTACTCCTTCTTGCTGCAGCATTACTCTTTGCCCAGAATTGTTTACTGGCCTGTTTTTCTCTTCAGTTTCACAATAAGGTGACCTGCTTCATGCTGCATCACATCGAAGAACCCTGCTCCCTGGGGGCTCATGCTGCTGTTATTGTCCCGCCCACCTGGATCATTAAGGTGAAGAAACCTCAGGTAACTGCCAGGACCCTGGTGCTGCTAGGCCAGTGCAGGAAAAAATTAACTGCTGCTTCTTGCTTTTCTCCCCCTGACTAGTCTTTGGGTTCCTATGACCTCTTTTCACTCATCCCCGAGGCCTTGTGTGGCCTATCCATCCCTTTACTACATTAGGCTCTCTCATGGAACTGACCTCCCTATCCTAAGGAAATCAAAGTTCTAGAACAGGAATGTGGCCTCCTCATGAATGTGCTAAGATAATTCCCTTTGAAAGGAGATTTCCCATGTTTTACTGAGCACTAGTGGTGGGGACAGCTGATGCTTATGCAACTCTCTTTTCTTCCAGCCTGGGCATTCCCAGGGACTCAGTGTGAGGGCAGACTCTGCAGGCTTCATGGTTTAGTTACGATTACTGCCACGTCCAACCTGAAGTGGGCATGACCTTCCTAAATACGCAAGACCTGCTTAGGGAGCAACACTCTTTTCTAAAGGCCAAGTAGGGTTTGTTTTCTTAATACCTAATCTCATTCTGCATTCTCCTCAATGTACTTCCTGTCCTAATGAGTCTCTACTTCAATATTTAGGGAAACCTTGGGGGTTTCTCAACAAAGTCATAATCTTTGATTCAAAATGCTTCTGCCTTTGTGCTATCCATCCTTGAGAGTTAGCTCTGAGTTAATTTGGCAGATTTTTTTATGGTACAGGGACAGAGTTTGTATCTCCCCAGGGTATATGTACTTTAGGAAGACTTACCAAATGTAATATCTTTAAAAGATAAGGTGGTCCTACTTCCTGTGGTCTCCAAAGTCATCGTGCAATTCATTATCATTGACTCAGTTTTATTTAAAAAATGGTGGATCAGGGATACTGTTTTGCTTCGTGTGTTTCATATGAAATTTAGCCTCTGCTGACGAGTAATACTTAGGAATAAACTTTCCAAGTTATAATCTATGGAAGCCCTTGGGTTATTTCTTCTGGGGCAAGTACAGTATCCACAGGTTAAAAAGTGGGGAGGCTAGTCCTTATTTCATTTTATATTTTCAAACCCAATGCCACGATATGTTGAGTGAGTTGCCCAAGGTAACAAAGCAAATTAAACATAGTACTGCTGTATGAAATTCAAGTGTACTGAATTATAATTTTTATTTTTAAATCTCTTTAGCATTTTTACTTTTTAAATATTTTACTAAAATTCAGTAATCTCTCCAAGGCTTTATATTAAATATTCATTCAGTTAACACAACCTTTGAGTTGTGTTACCTTTGAGTTGAAACCTAGATTGTATCAGGAAGGCTACTAGGCATTGTGATAAAATACATGATGTTTGCCCTGAAGAACCCTGTAGTTATCATAAAGAGAGATCTTAAGAGGGAGCTCCATGAAGGTGGTAGGTTTTGTTCTATTTTTTTTTTAAAGATCGGATTTAGATCAGTGGAGAAGAGAGAGTAGCTGACAGGAGACTAGCACACAGAGCAAGGGTACTGTGTCCAAAATTGTGTTCATGAGGCCGTGCAACTAGTTTGACTGATGGGCAAGGTTTATGTAAAGGGCATGTAGGAGAGGAACATATGGTTGCTCAGGGCAGGCAGCCGAGAGGTTTTTGATACATGTGACCTTTATCCTGAGGTAGTGGGTTTCCTTTTAAGCAAAGGAGTGGTAGACTAAAAAGTAGTGTGTTAGAAGGAAACAACTAGCAAGAGTGTGTAGGATGACTTGTTGGTATGGGATTTTGCAAGTCTGGAGACAGACCAGTTAGAAATATCAGAAGAGAGATACTTCTTTGCAGGGAAATTGTTAAGTTTACTTTTCTAAACCTTAAACTTTTTTGTTATGGAAATTTTCAAGCAAATGAAGAAAGACAAAGGATTATAATGAATTCTGTAATCATCAGCTTTTCTGCCATTTTTGTTTTATCTATTCTCTGCCACACTATATTTTCTTTTCATTAATTAAACCTTTTATTTTGAGATCCATGTGCCGCTATAAGAAATAATACAGAGGAATTCCTTGTGCAGTTTACAAAGTTTCCCCTCGTGGTAATATCACACATTGTTATAGTACAATATCATAGACAGGATACTGACATTGATTCAGTCAAGATATGGAACATCTCATCACCACCAGGATGCCTCCTGGTACCTACAGGTAGCCACAGCCAGTTCCTTTGGGCCCCCTCCCATCTGCCTCTCTTCCTGGACGTGGAAGGCACCTCCTTCCTTTTATTATTTTGCTAGAGTATTTTAAAGCAGATCTTAGCATACCACTTAATCCAGGGGTCCTCAAACTTTTTAAACAGGGGGCCAGTTCACTGTCCCTCAGACAGTTGGAGGGCCATTGGAGAGTGCAGCGCACATTCCACACATGCGCACTGTGGGCCCGGGACAAGTCGGCTGCTAAGCAGGACAGACAGCGGGGGCAAAAACACCTGGCAGGCCCGATAAATGTCATCGGTGGGCCGCATGTGGCTGCGGTTTGAGGACCCAGTCAAATCCATAAATACTTCATTTTGCCTCTCTCAAAGATAATGACATTTAAAAAAACTAACCACATACCATTATCTCATCCATAAAATAATGATTTCTTAAAAGTTTTTCTGATTATCTCAAATATATCTTTCTTACAGCTTTACATATCAGGATCCAACGTCCACAATTGCCATTTGCTCACTTACCTCGTTGTCTCCTTTAATCTATAACATTATCCCCTCTTACTTTTTATGTCATTTATTTGTGGAATAAATTGGGTCACTTTACCTGTGACTTCCCATATTTTGATTTTGGCTAATTGTATCCTTATTGTATTTTAGAACGATTGCCCATATTTCTTGTAGACTAATATTTTGATATAGAGACTCAGATTTCAGGTTTAATTTTTTGGTAAAAGGGCTGTATGGGTGGTCCTGTGTATTTCTATTATATCACCATCACAGGAACATGATTATCAGTTTCACTCTTAGCAATGTTACTATCAATCAGTGGTTTGGGAACCATCATCCTGATCCACCTATCATAAAGTTCGTTGTTAGCTTTTCACTATTCTGTTGTTCATTAAGGTTTATTACTGAGATCTATTATTTCAATAAGGGTTGCCAAAAGGTGGTTCTCCAATTTTTACTTTTTCACTTTTTAGCTATAGTTTTTCTATACAGGGACCTTTCTGTTATCACCAGCAAATACATAACAAATGTTTGAGTTTTTGCCTTTATTTGTACATTTTTTTAAAATAATAAACGGATGCCTTAGCAACCTTTATAGGTGGCACAGAATTGTGGTGGTGGTTGTTTTTGGAGAGTATCATTATGAAATTACATAACTATGATTTTTACATATATTTATGATGTTTTAATTCATTGCCATCATAATTCTTCTAATGTTCATATTGTTGCATCTTTGACCAGTTGGAAGCTCTTCCAGGTGACTCCTATCTCCATTTGTCGTTAGCCATCGGTTTTTGATAGCTTTCCTGGTCTTAGAAATGACACCACATCCCAGGATCATCTTGTGCATTTCCTGTTTATGCTGGAATCAGCCATTTCTCTAAGGAGTCTTGGTTACTTTTAAGGAGAGATGGTATTTACAGCTCACAGTCTGGATGCAAAGTCCAAATTCATTATCCAGCATGTACATTTTTATTGTCTTCTGTGACTCAAGACACTGCCATAGTATAATAATAATAGGAAGGAGAGCTAACAGTCATCAAATGCTTTTTATATACGTTAGGAAATTTTTAAATATTCTACATTCAGTATCTCATTTTGTTATTATAGTACCCTATAAACAGTTATCTTTTTATTCCCACTCTACAGCTGAAGAAAGTAAAGAATAGAGAAATCAAATAAATTGTCCAGGGCCATATGGGATAGGGTTTGAATCCAAGAGTTCTGATTCTGGAGCCAAGCTCTTAATGATAGGTCGCACTACCTCACTGTCTTACTATAGCAAGCCTTGATGTATCAGATATTTTTCTGAAAGTTTGGAAGTTCCTCCTCCCATGGGCTCCAAAACCATCAAATAAGTTAATCAATGAACTATTCAAAAGCTTATGTATGATGAGCTTGAGGGGACAATATAGTAGTGGTTAAGTGCTTTCTGGCATTTAAGCCCAGACTGCTTAGGCCATACCTTGTTCTAGCCATTTGTAATTTGTCTAGTGTTGAATAACTTCAACTCTTATATGTAGACTCTTCTGCCATCAATGTTAAATTTTATAGATACTAAAAAATAAAATACAAGGAGAAAATTCTTTGGTTTGTGATCAGATCATGCATGGCAGTCAAGACAGTAGTTTTGACAGTAGTTTGTAGAGTGTGGCGAATAGGTAGCAAGCTATTAGCTATGAATTGGAGACAGTAATATTAGATAATTCATTTGACATATTGGGACGTGATGTAGAAAAAGAGAATCTGGAAGGTATGTGGAGAACAGCACAGTAAAAAGTTTTTCCAACTTTGAGGATATATATATATATATGTATATATATATGTATATATATACACACACATATATGTTTTCTATACATCTATATATATTTCTACATTCTATCACACTGCTTCAAAATAAACAATAAAGGAAAAGATAGTCTAAATTGAATTAGGTAAACACCTATTTGACCACATTGAAAGATGCTGTTATGCTTTAACAATAAATGATAAAGGAGAAGATAGTCTTAATTGAATTAACTAAACATGTAACCACATTCAAAGATGCTGGTTGTATACGGTAAGAGGCCCAAGGATGAATCAGATGTGCTCTATTAGGTTATTAAGTATGGAATGTCTTATTTTCTTAGGTACTAAGAATGACAGTTGATATCTCTGACCTTTCACTTGGACACTTCTATTTTATTATTGTGAAAATACATCCTCATTATTTCAAACTCATGTTTTGCCTTGTGATTATCTTTCACATTTTTTAGAGCAATTTTTGTGAAGTCCTGGATAGGTCAAAAAGTAGTGTTTTGTTTTTTTTTCAAATATGAGTTCCATTGTGGAACCAATGCAGCACAGACAGCTTGAAATA